GTGCTTTGAACTCTGTATCTGGTAGGTTGCTTGCCTCTAATCTGTTTAGTTCTTTTTCAGGAGTTTTCTCCTGTTCTTTCATTCGGGACACTTTTTTTTTGTTTCCTCCCCTTGGCTGCCTCTCTGTGTTTGTTTGTACGTATTAGGTAGATCTGCTACATTCCCCAGTCTTTGCCAGGTGGCTTTATGTAGTAGGTTTTTGTGGCCCAGTGGTGCATTTTACGTGGTCACCTGTGCCAGCTGCTATAGGAGTGTCCCTTGTGTGAGTTGTGTGTGCCTTTTTGTTGTAGTTGAGCCTTGATTGCTGTTGGCACATCAACGGATGTTATTGACTCTAAGGCTGACTGGCTGTATTGGCCATGCCCACAGCATAAGAACTGCTGTGTAGGGCTGAACCCATGGAGCGGGATTCTCCTCAGTGGGCTCATGTGTCTACTGAGGTCTCCTTTGGGTAGCCATTCACAAAAGTCTTAGATCACATTGAAGCCAGCCACTGCCCATAAGGCCCACAGACCCCTGAGGTTTGTTCAAGAAATATTGTAGTTTGGGCCAGAGCTGGTTGCCTGCTACCAAAAGTGACTCAAGAGTCACTCCAGGTGAGGCCTGTTGATTGCTGCTGAAGAAGCCTCCTACTGAGAGTTTGGGGTGGACTGGTTGCCTAGCCACGAAAATGCTCCCAGCAGTGTATGAATTGGGTAGGGCTGAGTCTCATGGAGTCAGCAGGGTGGAACGAGTGGATTTCACCAGGCTAATACAGATTCATATTTGACTGTGTTGGGGAAGGGCTCAACACAGGCAAGGTGGCACATTCCCGTAGGCTGCATAAGAGGAGAGCTCAACAAAGCGACAATGGCTGCTGAACATCTCTGGCACCTCTTGAGCTGCTATTCTTTTGCCAGAGGCCAGGGTGATTTCATGTGAGCAGGTAGTCTGTGCACAGGCCCTTTAAAGGGATGTCCAGGTTTCTAGCAGTCTTTCATCTCACCCGATAGGAATCCCTGCTGATTTTCGCAGCCACATTTTGTGGGGACTCCTCTTCCCAGCACTGCAACCCTGGGCTGGAAAGCCCTGGTGTGGGACTGGGGCCCCTCGTTCTTCCGGGAGACACCTCTGAAGTCAAGATATCTCTCCCAGTGTTGGGCCAGCCCGTTTTGCATCTCCGCCCCTCTTACAAATCTTGATGTGGCCTCTTCTTTACATCCGTAGTTATGGGAATTCTGTTCAGCTAATCTTCGGATGGGTCTCTAGATTGATTGTTCTATTAGGATCTTAGAATTAACCGTTCGGCGTCAAGTTTTACTATACACCGAGTCTTTCAATATGAAGAGTCAAGTTTTATTTTGAGATGATTTATTATCATTTACCTTTTAATGTTTTATTTTTTTAGGGACTTCCTTTGTACATATATTAGATCCTTTTCTTATATACAGTCACTTGATTCTTTGTATCATGTGTATCCTGTTGGCTTTTTTCAGTACTTTTATTAAATGTTCGGTAGAATCTAATCTCCCTTGGTCACCTTGTAATTTAGTCTTCATTTCCATGACGATTTAGTGATCTTCAGATTATTTTCTGGGTTTGGTCAGCCTCATTTCATTTCTTCCTTTTTTCCTTGTCCATTGTGCCTTGAGCTTTTAGATTTCTGAATGTGATGTGACTTTTTAAAAAATACCTGCAAATACTAACTTAAGGATATTAATTCAGTTTTGAGTTCTGTGATACAGTTTTCCTTTGCTTCATTATTTTGGTGAGGAGCAGAATTTTCATTAACTGAAATGTCCTGATTCTCATTTTCTGTTTTATTTTATAGTAGCTGTATATGCATTGAGTCTACTTTTTTTTCTGTTTACCCTCCAATTTTTGCGTATTTTTTATTTACTCTAATAAATATTAACAATTGTGTATATACAAAATTGAGGATTTTGTGTGGCAAAAGAAGTTACTTATTTCAAGAGTACCTTCTCTTGGTATAGTGAAATGCAGTTTTTTAAATCAATGTCACTTTTATTGGAAGGTGAGGTTGGTGTATTTTCTGATTTTGTTATTCCCTTTTGTGTCTATAGGATTCTTACTTTCACTTTCTTGCTACCTTCTTTACCTTCACTATCAAGTTCTCAATGGGAGCCTTGTCCTTTCAACTTTCCCCTTGTTAATTCTTTTCTGCAATACCTACCTAACCAACCACTTACTCATCTTACTAGGAAAAATGTTTGGGATCTAAAATAGATCAGCAATGTCGTATCTAATATGAACAATGAGTTTTCTTTTCATTCTTCTGATAATTAATCAGAAATGAGGAAAATAGTTATTTTTCTTTAAAATTCTCAGAAAATTATACTCGAAAATAGCAAAATTCTTCTGTCATCAGCTTAAGGTATCAATTATTTTAAACATTTTAAATTGAGGTAATCAAAATGCCAGTATATTACAGTAAATCACATTCTGTTCCTTCATTAATTTTTGTTTATGTGCAGAGAAAATGACTATGTAAAGGAATTTTATATATTCACTCTTTTCTTTTAGCCTAAGAAAGCTGTCAAGGTAAAACCTCGCCCACCAATAGCTCCTCGACCTTCTAGTAGTTCCACGACAGCTGCTCGGCACAGATTATTAAGAGTTCTCCCCCACATTGGGCAGTCTTGTTTACCTTCTCCTGGGAATGCATATCTACCTGAAACATCCAGCAATGCAATTTCAAGTTTGGCAACTCTGCCACCTGCTGATAGACCCATATCATCTATCGCTAGTGATTTTCTTAAGGAAGATGATAACTGGGAGAGTAACACACTGTCTCATTCCAGTGGTAGCATCAAACTACCACCTCAGATAACCCATGTGGAGTTCGAAAATGACAAAGAGTTTGTTAATTCTATTCTCCATTTTGGATCATCCCTGCCTAGGCAGACAAAACACTTTTCAGGAAATTTGTCATCTAATAATGAGGATGACACTGTTTTATTTCCAACTTCTGAAGAGTGTGTAACTGAAAAATCACTTCTACCTGAAGTGGGTTTGTTTACTTCATTTACAGAAGGAAATACTAATGAACAGAGCAGTGGCTTAGAAGGCACATGGAAGGTAAATCCAGAGGTCTCACTCACTAATAGTGATAAAGGATTGGAAGCTACAGAACAGCATCTGAAACATGTTGCAAGAGTGTTGAATGGTGAATCAGTAGAGACTACAGTTCTCAACCACCGTGAATTAAGTCCTCAAAAGAATAGACTCTTGTCACCTCTTCACTGTTCTACACCAATGTCGCTCCATAATTCTCTGGTGAAACCGCAGAGGCAGTCCACATGTTTTGAGTCTGGGAATCTCCAGTCTTCTGCTTCACAGAATGTGCTCCGGTCATTGGATATTCGAAATATAACTGATTCTTCTTTTTCTAGGACTACTCGCTTTCGAGCTGTTAAAGTTGATTCACCTGGGAAAAGATCTGATATTATTTCTAAAGTTGAGGCTCGGGACATCACAGAAATGGCTAACAAGGCTTCCAAAGAGCCTGTTGGTTATGTAAATAATATAGGTTTTCTTGCCTCGCTGGCCCGGAGCGCAAGCAGAGATGGGTTACAGAGCACACGTGGGGCAGGCAGGCTTCGGACCTCTGGAATTGGGCTGTCTACAAATCTCCAGCATTTTCAGGAAGAAAGCCCTAGGAAAAGTTCTCCTCAGTTAGACTCTACAGAATTTTTTCTAGTAAGTATCTGCCTTTCAATATGTTCTACTAGTTATCCTTTTAGTGATTCAACATATTTAAGTTCATTTTTTGTTTACATAAATAAGGAGGCCTAAGGTTTACTTCTTTTCATAGCTTCTCTTAAAATGTTTATCTAGTTTGTAGAAAATCTTTGACAGTTGAATTTTAAATAATGTTTTAGTCCTAAATTGAGAACCGTAATTTGAAAATAATTTAGTGTAAACAATTTATCATACACAGTAGTCCCCCATTATCTATGGGACAGATGTTCCAAGATCCCCAGTGGATACCTGAAACCACAATAATACCAATCTTTATACTGTGTTTTTGCTATACATACATACTTGTTATAAAGTTTAATTTATAAATTAGGCACAGTAAGATACCAATAATAACTAATAATAAAATAGAACAATTATAACAATATACTGTTATAAAAGTTATGTGATGTGGTTTTCTCTCAAACTATCTTATGGTACTATACCCACCCTTCTTGTGATGATGTGAGATGGTACAATGCCTACGTGATGAGATGAAGTGAGTTGGATATTCTGGACAAAGGGATGATTCACATCCTGGGAGGGATGGAGTGAGATTTCATCATGCTACTCAGAATGGCACGCAATTTAAAATTTATGAATTGTTTATTTCTGAAATTTCTCCTTTAATATTTTTGGACCTTGGTTGACTGTGGGTAACTTAAACTACGGAAAGCAAAACCACAGATAAGGGGGTAATACTGTATTTTTGAATGATAAATATTTTTATTAATGTTTTTCTCAAATAAGAATTTATTTTTGAGCTATCAAATTATACTCTCTTAAAGATAAATAATAAGTACAATGTTGCTGGATGTGAGAATCAGGTTCCAAGTTAATTTAATTAAAATTAAATAATTTTAAAGAAAAGCCTAATAGCATTTTTGTAATAAAGTACACTATTTTGTGTTTGCTGATCTTTGCTTCTGTTCTCTATGAACTCACCTCTATAGATGTTTGTGTTTTAATTGTAGTCTGCCCGTGGTATTGGAATGAATGGAAATAATACAGCAACAGGGAAAAGAGTAGGTAAGCTACAGATAATTTTGAAAACAATATAAGACTAATAATCATATCATTGTACATACTGTTGAATTTCAAAGAGAAATGAGAAGAACATTCTCTATGGTATATACAGAATAAACTCCCTAAACTGTGTTCTACTTAAGAAAATGATTAAGAGAACTGACTATAGGACATATTTGAAGAATAAAACAAAAACGAAATTTATGTGTCTCTTGTCTGGGAAGTGATATGGTCTATGTGAAAAGACACAGTGAATGAAGAATTAACATGTCGTTCCCAACCTTCTCTGTCACTGGCCACTCTAGAGTTATGCTGGGCTGCTGGATGGGTTTTGATAAAATACCCTAGAAAGGTTATTCTTAGCATCATAATCCAATATTAAGGATAGTAGTGAGTTCCTTTTGATGAAGTGGTTATTTCTGGATAAAAGAAAGGGACTATCTCCCAATAACACCTTACATAAAAGTTTACTGGCCAGTCATTATTTCCAAGGCAGCCTATTACTATCATCATCTTTTATGTTTTAATACCCAGACTAGGGATGGGGAAACTCATTACAAAGATGGATCACCTTTGTAGTCCAAGGTTCTAAAGGATATTTTATATATTATTGTTGTCTTGTGAGTTTTGTGTCTTTAAAGAGATACTTAGAGTTTGCTTTCCACTACTATTTAAGGCCCAAGGTTCTAAAGTCTTAATATATCTACTTTTTTTGTTCAATTTTTTTTATTGTGGTAAAATAATACATAACAAAATGTACTGTTCTAATCATTTTCAAGTGTACAATTCAGTGGCATTAAGTACATTCACATTGTTGGACAACAGTCACTACCACCCATCTCCAGAACTTGTTTTATCTTGAAAACTGAAACACTATACCCATTAAACATTAACTACTCATTTCCCCCTCTCCCCAACCCATTCTGCTTTCTATCTCTATAATTTTAACTAACTACCTTATATAAATGGAATCATACAGTATTTGTCGTTTTGTGCCAGGCTTACTTCAATTAGCATAATGTCAAGTTTCATCTATGTTGTAGCATATGTCAGAATCTCCGTACTTTTTAAAGCTGAATAATATTTCATTATATGTATATGTATATGTGTTTATGTGTGTACGTATACACATACATACATACATCCGTGCATCTGTGAATAGAGACTTGTGGTGTTCCACATTTTAGCTACTGTGGACAAAACCGTTACAAACATGGATATATAAATATCCCTTTGAGACCCTGCTCAATTCTTTTGAGTATATATGAAGAAGTGGAATGGCTGGATCATATGCAATTCTATTTTTAATTTTTTGAGGAACCTCCATACTGTTTTCCATAGCTGTAACATATCACATTCTCACCAATACTTGTTATTTTCTGGGTTTTTGTGGGTTTTTTTGTTTTGTTTTGTTTTTTTTGTAGTGGACATCCTAACAGGCATGAGGTGGTTTCTCTTTGTGGTTTTGATTTGCATGTCCCTGATGATTAATGATATTGAGTATCTTTTTATATACTTAGCCATTTGTATATCTTCTTTGGAGAAATGTCCATTCAAATCCTTTGCCCATTTTTTAATTGAGTTGTTTGGGAGTTTTTTGTTATTATGTTTTAGGTGTTCTCTATATATTCTGGATATTAATCCCTGACATATGATTTGCAAATATTTTCTCCCATTTTGTAGGTTGCATTTTTACTCTGTTGATAGTGTCATTTGGTGTCCAATAGCTTTTAATTTTCATGAAGTACAATTTATCTATTTTTTTCTTTTGTTGCTGTGCCTTTAGTGTGCCTAGTATGTCATTGCCAAATCTAACATCATGAAGCTTTTCCCCTATATTTTCTTCAAGGAGTTTTATAGTTTTAGGTTTTACGTTTAGTCTTTGATTTTAAATTATCTTGTGTATATGGTGTAATGTAAGGATCTAATTTCATTCTTTTCCACGTGTATATCCAGTTTTCCCAGTATCATTTGTTTAAAAGGCTGTCTTTTCCCCCACTGAGTGGTTTTGGCACCCTTATCACAATCATTTGACCATATAAGTGAGGATTTATTTCTTCATTCTCTAATTGTGTTCCATTTATCTACATGTATGTCTTTATGCCAGTACCACATTGTTTTGATTACTGTAATATATCTACCTTTAATGTTATAATTATTTTTCCTAGATACATATTCAAATCTGTCCTGTCCTAACCTACAGCTCAGCCTCCTGAAAATTTGTTTCACGTATTTATACTCTTCTTAACTCACATTCAGCCTTCAGTACGTTCTTCACTTCTCTTCTCACAGCTCCTCTGAAATTGCTGTTGCTGAGGTCACCAAAGATCTCCACAATTTCAAATCTAGTGGATGTCTCTCCTTTCTTTCTCAGTATCTCTCCTTTTCTCATCTCTCCTCCTCCTCCTTTTTCTTCCTCCTTTTCCTCCTCTTCTTCTTCCCTTTCTCCTCCTTCTCCTGTCTCCTTCTCTCCCTATCTCTCTCTCTCTCTCTCAATGGTATAACATTGTGGTAGATTTTTGTTTCGTTTGTTTTTAACTTCAGTTTTCTTTTGACTCATTTTACCTGCCCTCTACTTGTCCTTGGGTATACACTCTATTGATTCATTTCATTTCGGTCAAGTCATCTGCTGCTCTTTGCAGTAATGATTCTCCAACTAGAGCCGCATAACTTGCTGCCATTTTCCTTCAGTTACAACTGTGTTATTCTAAATTAACTTAGAAGAGTCTATGAAAGTTTTGGCATATCTTGTTTAATTGACCTATAAGTTCCTCCATTGGTCCTCTTTGCCTTTCATTATAGGGTCTCTCTTGGAAATTTTATCCACCTTCATAGTTTTAGTCATAATTTTTAGGCAGATGATTACCAAACTTGCATCTTGAACACTATTACTTCGTTGGCTGTCTTTTCTGTTGTGTGAATTTTTATAGATCATTATGTTACATCCAATATTAGACCTGAAAATGCCAAAAAAGAGCGTTAATCCAAATGTCTTTAATCTTCTGAAAAGCAACTCTTCACATCAGCATTATTTTATTGACTTTTTCTTTATTCATACGTTCAACACATGTTTGAGAGAAGGCTTTAGAGAGGAGTTGGTGATTGGTGCTCTCTTCCTATCGGATAAATAGAGTTTTACTAGGTTGATAAGGTGGAGTAGAATATTTTATAAAAAGAGATTGTACAAATGTGACTGGTGCCTCATTCAGGGGTGGGTATGATGTGGTAAATGACAGAAAATGACTCTGGCAAGTTAGGAAGGTATCATATCGAATATATAAGATTTGAATGCCAGTCCAAGGAATTTTACTTTTTCCTGTTTGTTGTAGGGAACCTATATATTAGTGATGGTTCCTGGCCTGGAGTAGATGACTAATGAATGTGTTTTTTTTTGTTGTTGTTGTTTTTTGTTTTTTTTTGTTTTTTTTCTGGTGGGTGGAAAGATATATAGGAAACATTCTCATAGGAGAAGACTGCAGTTATATTTCTCTGCCACCTCATTCCTGTCACTAATATGTCCTTTGTCTTGGCACATTCACAAGAGTTCTTGAGTGAAAAAGTTTGGGAAACATTGAGTTAAGCACCCCAAGGAAAGACAAAAATGAAAATATGACTACATTGAACTAAATTGTCATCAACAGATTTTTCTACTACTATTTAGGGAAGAATATTCTAAGCCTGAATTTCAAAGGTAATTGCCATTAGATGAGCTTCCAAAATATATCTGGTAGTATATGCCTTTCCTCTGTGTCCTGAGGAATGCTTATCTTACATTTATTTTTTAAGAAATGGAAAGTAACCCATTACCTTTGTGAAATGTTCTTGAAGAAGAAAGCACTTATTAACTGAATTGGTGTCCAACATCATTAGGAGTCATTCAGTTAGTAGTTTCACACTTTGTTTCCTGTTTTGGACAAGATTTGGGAATGTATTTTATATTGGTAATAAAGCAAACTCAGCATCCGAAAGGTGTATCAACAATTGTAATTCCACATTTTTGAGCCCTTGAAGAGTTTTCAGAGACTTTTAACTGTCAGATAAACATTAAGCCCACGCCTCCCAAATCTTTCTCAGTAGTTGAGAATAGGTACCAGTACAATTGACACTCAGTGTTTTTTCTATTCCTTCCCCTTGTTTTTATTTCTTTTGTTTGCCTCTTGCTTCTTGGCCTTTGAGTGTCACCAAGCACTGTGTACTTGTATTGTTATTGTAACAACTGTGAATAATGAGCCTCTCTACTTATGAGGGATTTGTTGGAATTTTGCTCAACTCTAAAAGCATTTCACTTAGTAATTAAATTGATTTAATTCCTTCTTATAACAAATGTACTCTTATTTTCAAGGTAAAAAAAAAAGTTGTTATGATAGTACAGAATTTATAGTGCACCATATTAATCATTATTGGTATGATATTTTATATAATTATAACACTTAAAATTTTCAGAATGCTTTTTAAATGTGAGGACTGAGCTAACCTTAAAACACTTAGGAATTTAGGAAGAAACATACATGTTCTGTTATCTTAAACATGAACAAATTGAAGTTTTAAAAGAATAAATAACTTGCTCGTGGTTTGATTAATTTCTATGGTGTAATCAGGACTATAAGACCACTTTCGAGACACACTGGTGCTCCTTCTTGGTGTAAAAGAACATGGTAATTATATTACATATTATGTCATTCTCAGAGGCCTCTTAAATATGATTTTGAACCTTTACTTTGTCAACGTTTGATGTACTTAATTTTTACTGATTGCTCTTAAAAATAATCAGAAAAGTATTGGTGTGACAAAAAGTCTTAAGAATATGAGTCCCAGTCAGTTGATACTTACCACATATTAAAAATATGACAGTTCTACTGCATCTTCACTTGCAGATTCTGTAAGTAATTTTAGATATAAAAATAAATTAATTTATTTATAGAAGTTTACTTGTGTGTTTTGCTGAATAGTATTTTACATTTAGAACTTTATGACTGTATTAATCAAAGTGTTCTTTCTCTAAATAGGAGAATGTACTCATCACCTCCCACCTGTGAAAGCCCCTATTCAAACAAAGAAGAAAACAACAAAGCATTGTTTTCTTTGTGGAAAGAAAACTGGATTGGCTACTAGCTATGAATGTAGGTAGGTTGGCAAGCTGGAAAAGCTGAGATTCTTTCTTTGTGATGACCCAGCTTGGGGATACAATTTAAAATATTCTTTAAATATTTTATATTCAAATATAATGTCGTGAAGATGAGGTTCAAATAGCAGCCCTCACTTGAACTCCTAATTAGCTGAAGTAAATAGTAAGTAGATAGCTTATGAATTTCCAAACTCATGAGATCCTCCCCTGCCCTTTAAATTAAGAGACTTAAACCAATGGGAGAATACTCTTTCTTTGTCTTATGGTAGATGTACTTGGTTTTTGTTTGAATATAGAACCCCTCCAAGATTCTATTTTAAATTGAACAAAAGACTGAATTTAAAGTTAATATAGTATAAATTTTAACAATCACATGGTACATCTTTATTTCAAAACAGATGAATAATATATTTACAAAAACTATGTAATTTTTCCACCTATAATGATTTCTTTCATTAGCATTGATTAATTTGCTCCAAGGATGGTGTTTACCCTTAGGTTAAGGCCAGGCACTAAAAATAACTGCTGCTTTTTAGAGTGTATTCTATTCAAATGGAAACAGCTTACCTCGTTGCTGGAAATATTTTTTAAATCCTGTCATGGCTTAGGTAGGTTTTATGTAATTTAATTTTCTTTGTGAGACAATTTCTCAGAAATTCATAGTTCTTCCAGGTTAAATGGTGGACATATTTATCACATTTTGCAATTTTACTACTATATAAAAACATAAAGATGAAACTCCATTTTATTTCATAATGGATTTTCTATTATAAACTCTTATATTTCCGGACAATTAACTTGTTCTTTTGGGGGGTGCTTGTGCTTGTCTATGAGTGGAAGGGAAATGCCAATGCTGAGATTGCTAAAGAGAAACTAAGGGCACCTGTTTGACTACCCGAAGTCAGGCTCTGATCTCCTGATGAGCCTCCAATAGAAATGTGACTATTCATATAAACTTTTTTTGTGCTTTAGATGTGGAAACAACTTCTGTGCTTCTCATCGCTATGCAGAAACTCACAGCTGCACCTATGATTACAAGAGTGCAGGGAGGAGATACTTACAGGAGGCAAATCCTGTGGTTAACACACCAAAACTTCCAAAAATCTAACTCTTGCTCTGCATCTAACTGTTCTGCATGAAGAATTGTATTACAGTGACAGAAGAAATATTGTTTAGACTGCATTAATTTTATTCAACTCCAAAAGATTTGCCAAATAACAAAAGCATAGAATGCGTATATACTGTTGGAGAATGAGAATGCTACTGTATTTGACATCTCTATTCTTTGGTGAATCAAAAGTTTTAAAAGTAGTTTAAATGATTTAGCTTTATTATTGCATGTCTGATGTTAAGTATTTTATATATTTGATACTGCAATTTTACTAGACAAGTCTTCAAAAGATGCACTTTAGGAGGTTAACATTGTATAACCAGCTTCCACTTTGTACAGAAATGAGCTGTCATGTAATGGCTATAATCTAATGTACTACTTTTTTTTTTTTTTCCAGTGGGGGGTGGGGTAGATGGGGATTTTTAAAAGAAAAATCCCATGTGTGAAAGTTTATTGAGTTTACTAGGAAATTCCTTTTTATTTCAAACTACTTTTTATAAAAAAGAACATTTGGTTTTCCAATATGGTTTTAAGACAGATTTCTTTCATATTCACTTTGACATTCAGATATGCATCCATTCTATAAAACACATCATGTTAATCATAGCATATATTTCTCAAAATACTACTTTTTGAATGGTAGTTTTAAAAAAAGATGTCCCACTTGTTGCTAATAAATACAGAACCCAACTTTTCACTTTTTGAAAAATGGCTACATTTAAAACAAAATCTCTCAGCTTGGTTTGTTTTTCTTATATGTTGAGTGCTATTACCAGGAGAAATTCAAATAAATATTCAATTTCATTCTGAGTTTGATTTTTGATTTTTTTAAATAAATTCTCTTTTATAAATACTTTTAAACAAAACCATTCAATTAAATAAATCGGTAATTTATTCTACTTGGAAAAAAATAGCTATAAGTATAAAGGTATTCTTTTAGGGGATAAAGGTCCTGAACCCCAGTTATAACTAATATACCATTCAAGATTTAGGGAGGCACTTTATGGAAGCTTAGTTGAATCTAATTCTGAACTCTGATAAACAGCTGGCAGGCAACTCAAGGATCTGCAGTGGTACCAAAGGGCTACTTTAGGTGCTTCACAGGGCCTCTTTCTCCATGCAATGTTGAATGAACTGGAGAGTTCTCTTAACCTTTTCTCTACTTCCTATAAGAGACTGAATGTTGAATGGAGAAAGATGCCTTCATCTTCCTTTGGAACAAGAAGGAAATGTATTTATAAGAGTAAAAAGGTAAGAAATTAGTTGAGCAATGCTGCAATTAGGGGTTGACATCATACTTTTTATGGGGGGGCGGGGAGATGGCTGTATAAGCTAATGAAAAGTATTTTCTTTGTTGAGTAGGTCAGCTTTTCCTCCCTTATCAAGACATGTGCTTTAGACACTTAAAATCTAAGAACTCTATGACATGGACAGGCTGCTGAAAAATGGACCAAAACATATTTATTCTATAAGTAAATATGAATACTTATGGCATGTATGATATATGCTTAGTGCACTCTGCTTTTTATGTTTTTTATTTTTTTAAATTAATTTTTTATATTTAATTTTTTTCAGTTATAGTTGACATACAATATTCTATTAGTTTCATGTGTACAACACAGTGATTAGACATTTATGTAACTTATGAAGTGATCACCCTGATAAATCCAGTACCCATCTGACACCATACATAGTTATTACAATACTGCTGACCATATTCCCAATGACAATTTTGTAACTATCAATTTGTACCTCTTAACCCCTCCTCCCTTCACCCATCCCCCCGTCCCCCAATCTGACAACTATCAAAATGCTTTCTGTATCAGCTTGTTTCTGTTATTTGTTTATCTTAGTGCACTATGCTTTTTAAACCAAGAAATGTCTTATTTTAGGTTTACCAAAGATTTTAGTCAAAGTTGAGTCTTTACTAATTTCTAAGTCACTGAGAGATTAAACCAGTTTAATTCAAGAAATCGTATCATTTTGGGGAGGTATTTCTTTATGCTTTTAATTCTTATAGTGAAGCAATCACAATTTTATAAACCTCAGATCTGTCTGCATTCACAGTAATTAGCAGAGTGCTTTGAATATAGGTGCTGGTTAACTATTAGTTAAATTAATTATATTATAGCTTAACCATGAAAAAAAAAAGACATTAAATTATTGTATATAGCTAAACTAATTTTATATGGTAAAATTTATTTTCTGGATTTTTCTTAAACAGTAAGCATTTGGTTTTGGTAACACTAAGTAAAATTTTTAACTTAGCAATGTGAAATATTTTCAAGTTAAGTTTAGTGCATTTTAGTCATTCTAACATGAGAATTTCAAATACCAGATGTTTTCAATTTTATCAGTGTTGTAATCTGTGGAGGGATTTAATTATAAAAACAGGTCAGTAACACACTTTAAACATATAAAATTTCATTAACCAATGTCACTCCAATAAATTAAAAACAAATAATTTTAAAAGATAGGAATTAATTTTCTGATATATGTTTAATATGTTTTTAAGACATCATGATATATAATCCAATCTTGTACCTATCAGTATTTTCCAAAGTATGACCCCATACCACTCCTGAAATACACAATGACTAAGTGGTACAAGGATAAACATTTTTTAATAATTATACATTTTTAATGTGTATCAGAAAAATATAACTATGTAGCTTATGTCAAAAATAAATTGATGTAGGTTAAAAAAATCGATTGAGGTGACCTCAGAAACATGGCGGAGTGAGAGGTGTCCCCAGATCTATCCCCTTGAAACAACAATAAGCTGAACAACTAAAACTCAACAGAAAACACCCAACCTGCACAACAGCACATCTGAGCGTGGGATCTGCGCATAAGAGCTACTATAGGTTAGAAACTCAGGAGTCGGGTGGTAAACTGGGAGAAATAAAGAAGCTGCCTCTCACAGCCCTCAGAGCTCCCTGGAGGAGGAAGAGAGGGGAGAAGGTGCAGCGAGTTCCCTGAACAGCCCTGCCTGGAAGAGCTGTGAGCTCCACATGGCCGGCAGCAGTGCCCAGGCATCAGAGCAGAAAGCAGAGAAATAGGGACGGCAGAGAAGCGAGGACAGCAGAGGAACAACAGTTGATTATTACCAGCCACTGTTGCAAAACGTGAGGCTGAGCTGCAGCCCTCATCCCCCAACCCAGAGCACCGCCCCCTCCCCCATATCCTCTGAGACCGAACACCGAGGAGACCCAGGGGAATCTGAGCAAACGCTACCATAACTGTCGCTATCATTGAAAGGGACTGAGACAGGGTAGCAAGCGCAATTGAATAACTATAAGAGAAAAAAAGGCATTATTAAGGCTTTATGTAAAGCGAGGATCCAAGAGGCTGACATGCCACCTACTGGAAACCAAAAGAAAAACGCCTTCTTTGCAACAGGCTAAAGAGAGACCTTTATATAATAAATCATCTTTCTGGAAAAAAAAAATACACTTCTATTAATGCCCAGGTGGAGAAAGAGTCCATTAAACACAATGAACAACCAAGATGACAAGGGAGCGCAGGAAGAAAGAGGAAAATCTCCAGAAAATAAGCTGAAAGACATAGAAATATGCGACTTAAATGACAGAGAATTCAGGATGGTACTTCTGAAAAAATTCAGTGAGATCCAAAAGAACTTATATCAACAATTTCAGGAATGAAGAAATAACTAGATGAGCAGAATGAGTTCTTTAGCAAAGAGACTGGAACCCTCCAAAAGAACCAAATAGAACTTCTGGAGATGAAGAACACACTGCAAGAGATGAAAAATGAAATAGCAAGCATGGAAAATAGAGTTGACCAAATGGAGGAAAGGATCAGTGGCATCGAAGACAGAAATCTAGAAATAAATCAGAAGGAAAAAGAGAGAAACCAAAGAATGAAAAATAATGAAAGAGAAATACAGGAGAGAAAATAATGGGCATTCTCAAAAGGAAGGAAAAGGAGTAGGGATTAGAAAGCATTTTCAGACAAATAGTTGATGAGAATTTCCCAAATCTAAGGAATGAGCTGGAGCTTGGAATTCAAGAGGTCAACAGAACACCCAATTATGTCAATCCAAAAAAGGCTTTCATCAAGACACATTGTATTAAAATTATCAAAAATCAAACACACAGAATTCTCAGGGAAGCCAAAGAAAAGAAGACGGTAACCCATAAAGGAAAATTATCGTCAGACTTCTCAGCACAAACCTTATAAGCCAGAAAGGAGTAGAATCCAATATTCAAACTATTAAATGAAAGGAACTGCCAGCCAAGAATAATGTATCCAGCAAAGCTTTCCTTTAGATATGAAGGAGAAATAAAGACCTTTCCAGACATACAAAAATTGAGGGAATTCTCCACTACGAGGACTGCATTAGAGGCAATACTGAAAGAGGTCATCTCGCTAAAACAAAATGACAAAAATATATATATATAACTAGGAGTAAGGCGGCTAGCAGGCATATAGAAGTAGAGGAGTGCAACCCTTACTAAGAAAAGGGCATTATAAGCTTAAACAATAAGAGATTTGCTATAGAAAGTAATGAAAGTTCATCATACGTAAGGACATGTTGAAACGACAATGCCTGAAAAGGGGAGGATTCAAGATCCAATTTGCAAAGGGGCATAGAGATAAAGCACACACAAAAGAAAATGGACTACTGTATACATATCACTATTCTCTACATATCCGTAATGGTAACCACACACCAAAGATTCAGAACTGAAGTATATAATATAAAACAAGAAGGACCAGAGGGAAAACAAACAAAACTCAATCACAATTAAAACACACACACGCACACGCACACGTGCACACACAAGGGCAAGGAAGCAATGGAAATACCAAGCTAACACAAATCAAAAGATGAAATGTTTATAGGAAAACTTATATTTCAATAATCACCCTAAATGTAAATAGACTGAACTCAACAATAAAAAGGTACAGAGTTGCAGATGGGATCAAGAAAACAAAATGCAACCATTTGTTGTCTCCAGGAGACACATCTCAGTTCCAAAGACAAATATAGACTCAAAGTGAAAGGGTGGAAAATGATATTTCAAGCAAATGGCATTCAGAGAAAAGCGGGAGTAGCAGTACTAAGATTGGAACAAATAGACTTCAAAATTAAAAAGGTAAAGAAAAATACTGAGGGACACTTCATAATGATAAAAGGAATCATGCACCAAGAAAACATAATACTTGTTAATATCTATGCTCCCAATCAGGGAGCCCCGAAATATATAAAGCAATTACTAACAGAACTAAAGGGAGAAACAGACCGAAACATTTTCATACTATGGGACCTAAATACCCAACTGTTGGATATGGATAGAGCATCCAAAGAGAAACTCAATAAGGAAGTAACAACCTTAAGGACACATTAGACCGACTGGACATAATTGATATTTACAGAGCCTTTCATTCCCAAACAGGTGCTCATATATTTTTCCCTAGTGCACATGGAAAATTCTCAAGGATGAACCACATACTGGGACACAGAGATAGCCTCAACGAATATAAGAGGGTTAAAATCATACCAACCATATCCTCTGATCATAATGCTTTGAAGCTGGAGATCATCTGTAAAAAAAATAAAGCAGGAAGAACCACAAATATATGGAGAATAAACAACATGCTACTGAAGAATAACTGGGTCAGAGAAGAAAAAGAGATCAACAGATAGATAGAAACGAATAATAATGATAGTACAACATATCAAAGCTTTTGGGACACGGCAAAAGTGATCATAAGAGGAAAGTTCATATCATTATAAATTCATATCAAAAATAAAA